TGCAATTCTCAAAAAGCAAGCAGGCGAGCAGCCAGGCACAGTGGTACCGTTTGCACGCCTAAAACGTTGTTAATTGAATTTGGAAAGAGGAATGAATGAATCTAGGACGAAAATTTGAGACTAGTAGTTTATATTATATTATTAAAATAATTGAAATATATAATATTATAAATTTTAAGAAAATAAAAAATTATTAAATAATGTAAAATAAATTTTTTAATATTTTAAATTATATAAAATAATGTATATTATTAATCTTAAATTTTAATTTTACATTTTAATTCAACTTATTATTATTTATTTAGATAAGTAAATTTATTAAAGATAAAACAAAATTTTGCATTTAAAATATCATACTTTTTTTTATAAATATTTTTACATATTATTTTATTATATTAAAAATATTTTGACCTTATAATTATTATTTTCTGATTATTTTAATCATTTCAATATTCGTAATTTTTTAAAAAAATTCCTTTATTAAACGCATATCACGTTCTACATGCTCCATAGCCATAACAAAACCTCGGGTCACGTTAGTGTTAGTGCTCGTCACAAGCTTGCAACTGTTCTTACATTATTCATGTTCCAACTGCCGATTATTGAAGTGCCTTATGGCCACACTTCTTCTAGTTGTTACACTTTTTTAAAAGGAAATGATTGAATTTATTTTCTTAATTTTTTTTAACTATAGCATTAAATTATATATTTTTTATTTTGACCATGTTAATTAGTATTTCATTAAAAAAAAAAAAAACATCTAATCCAAACTCTCCTTATTAACAAGACCAAACATAAAATTTTAGTAAGTATTAATTTTTTTTTTTTATAAATTTTGTTAATATTGTCAATGATTGTCATGCAAAAGTATGTCTAAATAAAATGAACATGAGATGGTAATATACAATTATATACAGTATAAAATTAAAATTTCACTATTGATTAAAAAACTTATTGTTTATAAGAATTGAATCCATATATAACCTTAAAATTGTTTAACCCCAACCTTCAAATCTTTAACTCTATTCTTATGGCCTTATTCACTGTTATTGTCATTTTCTTAAGACCTAGCCCCATTAGTTAGTTCAATTGGTTGAATCAAACTTAGTTCTAAAAATGGGTTCAGTTATAATTATAACCTGTTTAAAGTAAATTCAATCAAAACCTGTTTAGACTCAGTCAAATCACTAGACTTTACCAAATTTACTCAAATTGGGTCAACTCAATTCACTTGAACTAATTCAATTCTTCTATTTTCTTTTTCTTTTTCTTTTTCCTTTTACATTTTTACATTTTTTTGTAATTTTTATGTTTCTATTTATTTAATTAATAGATAATATAATAAGTAAATTGTAAAATCTATTTAAAGTCAAAGCACAATTAATGAATGAAAAATTTTAAATTAATTTAAATGTAATTTAAAATTAAATTACTATTTCAATATGAGAGTAATTTTAATTTAGAATTAAATCAATTCGATTTTGGAAATAAAATAAATAATCACATTATAAAATGAAACGAATAAAATCAATTTAAAATTAAAACTAATCTTAAGTAATTTTGGAAATGAAATCAATTTACTATTTTAGATAATAAAATGAATGAAATCATTTTAAAATTAAAATTAAATGAAATCAATTTAAAATTAAAACTAATCTAAAGCAATTTTAGAAAAAAAAATCAATACAAGAAAAAAATAATTTCATAATTAATATGATATTAATGTTTTAGATGCCTATTAAAGAAAAATATATTATTTATTTTAATAAATTTAATGAATGAAATTGATTTCAAATTTAAATTAATAAAATTTGAAAATAAAGTCTTAAAAATTAATAATTACTTTGATCAATAAATACAAAAATGATTTCAATCAATTTTTTTAAAAAATCAATTAAAGTAGAAATAATTTAGAATTAAGAAAATAAATTAAAAAACATTTATTAAGTTGACTAATTGAACTGACTAGTTAAAATAATTCAACTAATTAAATCAAACTCAGTGACCAAAACAAGTTGATCACTAGGTCCGACTTTAAAACCTTGGTTACTGTTACATTTTTAATTAAGTTTTCGAAATATTCCCATATAAAATTATTAGTTTCCATAAATATTATATTCACTAATCTTTTGTTAGCATAACTTAAAAGTAGTTATGAATTGGGCTTTTAGACCAATGGTTCAACTCTAACCCTTAGTGCTTGAGTTCAGTTAATTGAGAGCTCAAATCTCATAAATAATTTGAAAAATTCCTGTTTCCGCTCTAATTCCTAGTGTTCAAAAAAAAAAAAAACTTAAAAGTACTTACTTTTAAATAAATATTATTTAGCACCAATTTATAAATTTATAAAAACAATAATTTAAAAGTCACTTTTAAACTTAATTTTAATTTTTTTCTTTAACATATTTCAAAATTCGGATGAGAAAAATTCACTT